CAAATTTATGTTCACTTTTTGGAAGGTCATCATATATTATTTTTTGTTGTAGTGTAAGTACACATTTAAGACCAAATAAATCTATCTTGCAATCATGGGGCACATAGACACTATGGTTTTGTACATTTGTCTAATTGCATCATAGTATATACCCTATTTCTAGTTCCAGCATTACCTTTTTTTTCTTTTTTGAGATGGAGTCTTGCTCTGTTGCCCAGGCTGGAGTGCAGTGGCATGATTTTGGCTCACTGCAACTTCTGCCTCCCAGGTTCAAGAGATTCTCCTGTCTCAGCCTCTCAAGTAGCTGGGATTACAGGCATCCACCAACACGCCCAGCTAATTTTTTGTATTTTTAGTAGAGACAGGGTTTCACTATGTTGGCCAGGCTGGTGTCAAACTCCTGACCTCAAGTGATCTGCCCACCCTAACCTCCCAAAGTGCTAGGATTACAGGCATGCGCCACTTAGCCTCCCAAAGTGCTAAGATTACAGGCATGAGTTCCAGCATTATCTTATCACATATTAGATAATTACTTGTATAAAAGCTCAGGCTCAATAATAAAGTCTATAGATACTGTACAATAGGCCCCCTTGTATCTGCAGGTTCTACATCCACAGATTCAACCAATCATGGACTGAAAATTAAAAAAAATAAATAAATAAAAGGTAACATTACAGCAATTTAAAAAATTCAAAGATAACAATAATATAATATAACCACTATTTATAAAGCATTACATTGCACTAGGTGTTACAAGTAGAGATGATTTAAAATGCTTGAGAACCTGTATGTAGGTTATATGCAAATAACATGCCATTTTATATAATGGAGTTGAGCAACCATGGATTTTGTTTTCTGTGGGGGTCCTGGAACCAATCTCCTGCAGATACCAAGGGACAACTGTTTTCTAGAGGAAAGGTAAGGTAGAGAATATGTTTTATTTTTATTTTTTTAGAAACAGGGTCTTGCTCTGTAACCATGTGATCATAGCTCACTACGCCTCAAACTCCTGGAGGTTCAAGAGATCCTTCTGCCTTAGCCTTCTGAGTAGCTGGGACTACATGCATGCATCACTGTGCTTGGCTAATTTTTTTTTTTTTTTTTTTTTTTTGAGACAGGGTCTTGCTACGTTGCTCAGGCTGGTCTTGAACTCCTGCACTCAAGTAATTCTCCCATATCAGTCTTCCAAAGTGCTAGGATTATGGCATGAGCCACAGTACTCAGCCCTGGCTAATTTGCTTATTTTTTATTTTTTGTACAGGCAGGGTGTCGCTGCGTTACCCAGGCTGGTCTCAAACTCTAGCCTCAATTGATTATCCCACCTTGGTCTTCTAAAGTGTTGGGGTTACAGGTGTGAGTCACTGTGCCAGGACGGGGAGATCTTAAAGAAAGGGCTGCAGTTGGGAATCTTGGGTTCTACTTGTGGTTGTCACTCTCTCTATTAGACTTCTAATGAGACATGTAACTTCAGTTACATGAATTTTTGGATTTCCTATCATTGCTAAATAATAATAATATTATTACCACTTAGAACTGGTGTGATATGATCTCTCAATAATACTGTAACACTTAATTGGTATCTATAACAAAATTTGAAATACATAGATGTTTCTACAGAAATGCAAAGTACTCAGCTTATCGGTGTTTCTTTTTCTCAATTGACTAAATTTAGTATTAAATTTGTAGTAACATTTAATTTTAATTTCTTTACCTACTTCCTAGTGAAACACAGGAACACTTAAAACATTAAGAAACAAAAACAGGCTAGCTGCGGTGGCTCACGCCTTTAATCCCAGCACTTTGGGAGGCCAAGGTAGGTGAATCACTTGAAGTCAGGAGTTTGAGACTAGCCTGGCCAACATGGTAAAACCCTGCCTCTACTAAAAATACAAAAAATTAGTTGGGCATGGTAGCACATGCCAGTAATCCCAGCTACTCAGAGGTCAAGACAGGAGAATCGCTTGAACCTGGGAGGCAGATCACACCACTGCACTCCAGCCTGGGTGGCAGAGCAAGACTTTGTCTCAAAAAAAAAAAAAAAGAAAAAAGAAAAAAAAAGTGCTGCATTAAAACTGATTTTATAAACAAAATGACAAAAAGCAATTTCTTCCCATTTGATTTTAGAGACAATTGCTTATAAACAAGAATTTTTGGTCAGGTACCCTGTAGGGTGACCAAACCAAATCCTACCTTGCCTGGATCTACCTAGTTTAGGTACTGAAAAATTCCATGTCCCAGGAAACCCCTGTCCTGAGCCAACTGGTAGAGTTGGTACAGTTGGCTTTTCCATAACTTACAGTTCTATTATCTGCCATTAGAAAAATTCCAGTGCTAGCCAGGTGCAGTGGCTGACGCCTGTAATCCCAGCACTTCAGGAGGCCAAGGTGGGCAAATCATGAGATCAGGAGTTCAAGACCAGCCTGGCCAACATAGTGAAACCCCGTCTCCATTAAAAATACAAAAATTTAACAGGGCGTGGTGATGGGTGCCTGTAATCCCAGTTACTTGGGAGGCTGAGGCAGAAGAATTGCTTGAACCCGGGAGGTGGAGGTTGTAGTGAGCCGAGATCGTGCCACTGCACTCCAGCCCAGGTGACAGTACAAGACTCCATCTCAAAAAAAAAAAAAAAAAAAAGGAAGAAAAATTCCAGTGCTACTGTAATTTATATGTATCTGAAAAGCACCTGCATATTCTTCCTGTTAGTATTCAGTACATAATCATTTGGTTAGCATATAAACATTTATGGAATTTTGCCCCATGAATAGTTATTTTATAAATGTATACCAATATTTTTTGACCTTACGAGGACCTGGGGACAATGGGAGTGCCAAATTACCAACAATAATTATCTTGTCACCAAAAAGGTGTTAATTGGTGTATCTTCTTTTTCAAGAACCTTTTCCTGTTGTTGTTTAAAGACTACTGTGCTTCTAGCTAGTAATCACCATAGCTGGGAAAACAATAACACAGGCAATACCTTTAAGAACAAGTCATTAAAAAACAAAACAAAATAATGTATGTGGGTCATCCCTTGGCCAATGTTGGGCCAGAGAGAAGTTGTTCTACTGGTTTTCCTTAAATAGCACCATAACCTAACCTGAATCTAAGATGGTTTCTAAAATATGTATAGAACGAATGTTAACTAATTCGTTCTATAAAAATATGTATAGAACTATACATATAGTTCTATAGTTCTATACGTATAGTTCTATACATATTTTTATAGAACAAATTAAATAAAATATGTACAGAAAATGTTAACTAACCATCAAACTATGGTTACCATGATTTAGCAATGGTAGGAAATCCAAAAATTCAGAAGCACTGTAATACTGTTTGTGATATTAATAAAAAATGAGGTCAGATCATGGAAAAGGTTTCTGATAAAAATATCAGACCAATTTTATTCACTAGAAAATGGGGATAACACAGGCTGTGTACATTACAAGCATAATTAAAATAAAACTGATTAGGCCAGTTGCAGTGGCTCACACCTGTAATCCCAGCACTTTGGGAGGCCAAGGCGGGTGGATCATGAGGTCAGAGTTCCAGACCAGCCTGACCAACAAGGTGAAACCTTGTCTCTACTAAAAATACAAAAACTAGCCGGGCGTGGTGGCACATGCCTGTCGTCCCAGCTGCTTGGGAGGCTGATGCACAAGTGCTTGAACCTGGGAGTCGGAAGTTGCAGTGAGCTGAGATGGGGCCACTGCACTGCAGCCTGGGCGACGGAGCAAGACTCTGTCTCCAAAAGAAAAAGAAAAAGAAAAAAAGAAAGAAGAAAGGAAACTAGACCTATCAGTATTGACGTTAAAAGCTTTACTTTGTAACTCCTGAGATTACTTTATCAAATCTGATTATCAGTATTTTAAAACTTACAAAATGGAGAAATTGATAGAGGCTTTTAAACATTATAATGGAATTTTTCACTTTTCAAAATCAATTTCCAAAGGGAACCTATAGGTTGAACAGTAAGATGTGTCAACAAATCAGGGATTTAGATTTTAAAAGGTTTTCAATCTGACCAGTACTTCAGATTATCTCAAGAGGGAGCCTTCTTAAGTCTTTCCTTCCTTCGGAACACTCTTCTGGCTCTCATGTCCTGTTTACAAAGATTTAAGCCCCCTGGTAGAAAGGCATAAAATGCTCTGACATGACCCCTAACTTGCCTAATATTTTGCCATCTACTATCCACGCACTTTTAAGCTCCCGAAACTATTAATTATTTGACACACTTTCTGCGCTGTTGCCAGTTCTCTTCGGCCAGACCATCTTCTCCACCTTCTCTGTTAACCCCTAGCCATTCATCAACACTCAGCTCACACAGCACACTTCCATACAAGACTCAAGCATTATCTCTCTGGCTACATTTGGTCCTTGCAGGTTTTTCTATTATTGCCTATATTTTGTTGAAGCATTCATTTCTTTTATGTACTACATAGTATACAATACATATGCATTACAAAGCATTTTTTGTCACTGATGTTTTAAGGCAGCCAGCGGCTTTAAAACAGGGCAAGCGTTCGGTGGTCTTGGGCAAGTCCCTTTTCCTCTTTGAGCTTCAGGTTCCTCAGGTGTAAAATGGGTACTATGGCTCCGTGAAGGTGAGAATATATGTAAAGCCCTTACACAGTGCTCAATTCATGAAAACCACCGTTGTTGGCATCGATTAGGGCCCTCAAGAGGGGCTCTTGTCAGTGGAGTTGAGGAAATGCCCCTTTAAAATGACGTCAGTATAGGACACTTTAAAAACCACCGCACGTCTGTACAAGGGGACAGTATCACACAGCTACCTAAAGTGGGTTCGCCTGTCACACAGTTTTGGGGTTCCACTTACAACAGGTTTCCATCAGTAGGCAAGGGAACAGAAATTTTAGCGGCTCAGGGCTTCCCGGGATTACCGCAGGGCGGCGGGAAGCGCCTTTACCGACGGGCTAGAAGGCCGCGTCCCCACGGGACTACGTGAGGGCCTATGGCCTGCGGCAAAAACCCCCACCTACACGGTCCAGGAGTCCCTCTCTCGGTGACTGGTGACCTGGAGACCGCCATCTCTTCACATTAAAGGTCTACGGGTTTCCGCCCGGCCCACACAGCGGCAGCGGAACGGACCGGGAAGGCAATTCCCGCGCAGCGCTGCGCCGGTCCCGGGCCCAGGAAGAGCGGACCGTGGGGTCTCCTCGCGCTGCACGCAGGGGCGGCGGGGCGGGGCGCCGTGACGCAAAAAGAGTGACGCGACGGCGCAGCGCGACGCGGTGACGCACGCCCCTTTGTTGGCTCAGTAGCGATAGCAGCGGCCGTGGAGGTGGCGCTGGGGACTGTTTTCTCTCGGAGGCCGGAGCGGAGCCGCAACTGACTGAGGCGGGCAGCAAGCGGCCCCCTCGCTCCCTCCCTCTCTCCTCCGCGCCCTCCCCGCCGCCACCAGCCGCCAGCCGCCGCACCCGGGGAGGCGCCGCGGCCCCCGGGGCCAGAGCCAGGCCTGCGTCCGGACATTAGCCGGAGCCGGAGCGAGAGCCGGGGCCTCGGCGTCCCCGCCCTCTCCCCGCCTCGGCCAGCGTCCGCCGGGCGTCCGCGCGTCGCGCCATGGACTCGGACGAGGGCTACAACTACGAGTTCGACGAGGACGAGGAGTGCAGTGAGGAAGACAGCGGCGCCGAGGAGGAGGAGGACGAAGACGACGACGAGCCGGACGACGATAACCTGGATCTGGGCGAGGTGGAGCTGGTGGAGCCCGGGTTGGGCGTCGGCGGGGAGCGGGACGGACTGCTGTGCGGGGAGACGGGCGGTGGCGGCGGCAGCGCTCTGGGGCCCGGCGGTGGCGGCGGCGGCGGCGGTGGCGGCGGTGGCGGCGGGCCGGGGCACGAGCAGGAGGAGGATTACCGCTACGAGGTGCTCACGGCCGAGCAGATTCTACAACACATGGTGGAATGTATCCGGGAGGTCAACGAGGTCATCCAGGTGAGGGTGGCCGCCGCGTCAGCTGAACCGGGCCCGACTGGGGGGCGGATTCGGGCGGCCCGCGCGGTCCCGAGGGACAGGCCTGGGCCTGGTGCGCAGCCCAGCCGGGTGCCTCCCGGCCTTGTCTCCTCCGCTGCCTCTGCTGGGGAGAGAGGGTGTCGAAAGCAGAGGTTCGCTGGTTATCCGGGTGCGGGGAGGTGCGCTGGGGGCGGTGCTTCCCAAGTCCTGCTATGGCGGAGGTCTTCGGCCGCCTGAGCCTTCTCTTGCGGGCAATTTCTGCCAGTCTCCGGGCCCTGTGTCCTTCCTCCGGCCGGTCGAGCGCCTACTGGGGCGGGGCGGAGGAGTGGGGTGGGGTGGGGAAGAGGAGTCAGGAAGAATTGGGCCCCGACGAGGCTTACCCCGGCCTTAGCCTCATTTGAGCACTTTTGGAAAGGATTAGGGTAGGCCTAAGAGCAGCTTGGTGTACGGTTGCCCCAAGTGGGCACCAGTTAATAAAGAAATGGATCTTCTTGGCAGTCTCAAGTGCCTACTTAAAGGTGGGGGAAGGGAACTATTTCTCGGAAGAGGTGCTGATGGGCCGCCTTTTCAGATGGTGCGGCTTCTGCTCCCATCTTTTTTACGTCTTTGCTGTTTGTAACCTAACTGCTACTTTTTCTAGTCGTAGCATATGACTAGCTTGAAGTTGTTAGAATAGTTAACTGCATATTGCATACCCATCCTTGTAGCTAAAACAACAAAACGCAGTGTTGTCTAATACTGAACAACACTCTTATTGTGAGTTAGAAAGCAGAGGCCTTCTGCGTCTGCACTCCTTTCTCTGATATTTTCTATTTCGTGGTAAGTTAGGCTTGGTATAAATTGGTAACCATCTTATTTAAGTATGTGTGTCAAATTTTTGCATTTTTGAGCTTCAGAAAATCAAGTTTTCATTTGTTTGGGGGAAAAAAACCTACTTGTCCTGAGGAATCAGGGATATAGCTGAAGAATAAAAATGAAGCTTGGTTCAGTGCAACTTTTAGAAAACCTGGAAACAAGTTACTATTGCTTCTTGCATGTCAGTCATTATTTCTTTAACTTAAATTGGTTGGCTCAATATTCGTTGACAAATTAGAAGTATTGTCACTGCCTACTCGTTGACTTTACATTGTTAACAGATTTTTATAGTATTATAAGTAACAGTTTTAAAAATTAAAGCTTCTATTCAGGCAATGTTTGAATACAGTGTTTTGCATGATAAGAAAAATCTAATAGGTAGAGCTGTTACTAAATAGTGGAAGTCTTAGTTTTTAATATAGAGAACATAGTCTAAGAAGGAAGTTGAGGATTGTAGAAGACGTATATATATATATACATTTATAATTTTTTTTTTTTTTTTTTTTTTTTGAGACGGAGTCTCGCTCTGTTGCCTCATCCTCCCGAGTAGCTGGGACTACACATGCGCACCACCATGCCCGGCTAATTTTTTGTATTTTTAGTAGAGTTGGGTTTCGCCATGCTGGCCAGGCTGGTTTCGAACTCCTGACCTCGTGATCCACACGCCTTGGCCTTCCAAAGTGTTGGGATTACAGGCTTGAGCCACTGCGCCCAGTCTGTAGAATATAAATTTTAAAGCTCTTTTATTGATTCTAAAAATATGACAATTGAGTTCTTAGGTAACTAAATTGAGAACTTTTTTTCTTTTTAAGGGAACTTCATTAAAATAATTTGCAGTAAAACTGAATGGTCTTTTCATTTTTCTTCAGCTATATAAAATCTGTTCTCAAATTTATCACCTAGCTTACTGGCATTTTAATTAGCTTTTTAAAAATCATGCTTATTCATTATTTAACTTTTTGACTTACTTACATTCTGTTTTCTTAAACATCATCAGCTTAGATGTGTCCTAATCATTGAGGCCAAAAAGTTCTGTGTGTCACTTCTGCAACAAATATAGCTAATACATACGACATCATTCTTTATTAGCTTAGGTGAAAGAAAATAAATGCTGATGAAATGAACTAATAAGACCTACAAAAAACTAGGGGTTTTGTTTTTTTTGGTGTCCTACTTTTACCATGTTTCCATGCCAGATGTTTGGGAAAACGCTTTTTCTGGTGTATTTCACCATAAGGATGCTCTTAATAGAATTCCTGAACATATAAGTTATAGCCATACCTTGTTAAAATAAACTTTAGAAATATAGCAGTAAAATCAAAGGGTAGGATGTATCCCAGACCAGCTCTTCTCTGAATGGTATAATTACTAGGTCTAAATTAGGCTTTTGTTATGTTGCAAGTTAATAGATTAAGACTTTAGTTACACAGGTAAAGCGTGCACATATAAGAAAAATCTGATAAGATAAGAAAAAATAAAAAGATAAAATAGGCCTGCCACCCAGAGACCTACACCAAAAAGTGAACTGTAGTTATTTTTTTAGACCTTCGGATAGCCATTAATATGGTTCCACATTAATAACAGTGGAACCATACTGTATGTTCTTTTTGTGTTTTCAGTGGTAAAACATTACAAAAACAGATTTTCTGAACAACCTTCTACTGTCAGTTAATTTTTTCAAGAACTTGTATGATTATAGATCTAAACTAATTTATTTAATCAATCTGTTATTTTCTAGTTTATGGCTTTTATAAACATCGTTGAAAATATCCTCGTAAGTCAGCCTTTGAGTATTCTTATTTTCTTGGGAAAAGAACTGCTGAGTCAAAAGAATTTGCTCATTTTCAAGGCAATTGATTCATACTACCACATTGCTTTCAGGAAGGTTATGCTAGTTTTCCCAACCAGTCGGTGTTTGGCCAAAACAAAAAACAAAAAAACAAAAAAAACAACTGGTGAGATTGAAGTTTATCGTGTTTATTGGGCTTGGTATTTTTAAATTGCCCCGTGCTTTTTGCTCATTTTATCCTCTTTTGCCCATTGCCTCTGTTTGGGATATTTATTTCTTACTGAAGATTTCTTTGTATTAATAGAGGTTGGAAATACCAGTTATCTAGGTTTTTAATGTCTTTTTGATAAACAACACGTTTTACCAAGTTAAAAAACACTGAGTTTTATTTAATTTGCATTAGAAAGCTTACTGTTAACCCTACAAATTTAAATTCCCTGTTCCCAGTTCTGATTTTCAATATGAAATCGGGTAAGATACGTTTGAAGGCAAAAAAAGTTTGAAAGATCACCAAATTAACTTAATCTTTCCTTGGGAATTTGATTATTTTTTCTGGGAGAGGAGTTCTGGGGCAATGATGTAAACAGGTTATCTGCAGGTTATGTTTAGTTTTCAAATAGGTCAACATTATTTTTCTTTTAGAAAGCTCTTGCTTTTCTGTAACTTCCCAATTAGCGTTTAAATAAAAGACCAAATTAAACATACTGGTATGTTTGTGGCTACCTGGCTTACCTTTTGTGCTTTTAACAACAACAGCAAAAAATGAGGGTTTTTCTTTTGCTTTGTTTGGAGACAGTCTTGCTCCGTTGCTCAGGCTGGCTGGAGTGCAGTGGCGTATCTCCACTTACTTCGACCTTTGCCTCCCAGGTTCAAGAGATACTCCTGCCTCAGCTTCCTCCCCCAACCCCCCAAGCTAGTTTTTGTATTTTTAGTAGAGATTGTTTCGCCAGGTTGGCTATGCTGGTCTTGAACTCCCAGCCTCAAGTGATCTGCCCACCTTGCTCTCCCAAAGTGCTGGGATTACAGGTGTGAGTCACCACACCACTCCAAGCCAGGGTTTTTTGTTTTGTTTTTTAAATCTTAACCAGTATTGCTATTATTAAAAAGTGGTTTTTTTCTTTTTTTCTTTTTTTTTGAGACAAAGTTTCACTCTGCTGCCCAGGCTAGATAGAGTGCAGTGTTGCGATCTCGGCTCACTGTAACCTCTGCCTTCCGGGTTCAAACAATTCTCCTGCCTCAGCCTCATGAGTAGCTGGGATTACAGGCATGCACCACTTTACCCAGCTAATTTTGTATTTTTAGTAGAGACAGGGTAGGGGGGTGCGGTTGGTTCTCCATGTTGGTCAGACTGGTCTCGAACTGCTGACCTCAGGTGATCTGTTCCCCCCCCACCGCCTCCCAAAGTGCTGGGATAACAGGTGTGAGCCACTGTGCCCTAGCCTTGTTTTGTTTTTAATCTGGGACTGAAAATGAGGGAGTAGAAATACTAGTTTGGTCCTTTTCTACGTTAAGTGTTTTGTTTAACATCATTTTTAAAACCTGAGTTAACTGAAGATGTTCGTTTTTCCAAGAAATTAAATTCAGGTGTGCATTTCATGGTTAATTTAAATTCATTAGTTGAGAGAGGAGGAAGAGGGCGTGAAAGCCTGTGCATGATGTGTGCAGGCATACGTTTTGAAGTTATTAAAGTGTTTGGTATAGTTTAGATGTATTATTCTTGAACTTTTATCTTTTCCCAGCTGATCTCCTTGAGCTGTAAGCTTAAATTAGACCAAGACTTGTTGAATTACTATGGCAGTAGTCTTATGAATCAAACTCTGGGGATAGAGTCCTGCAGTCTGTTTTAACAAGCCTTCAGGGGTTGTTGAAAGTTTGAGAACCGATGATGCAGTTGAAATTTGACAGCAGTGTTTCTCTGTGTGTTATGTCTAGTGATAAATTACTACAGTGGTGGCTTAATGAAGGAAGGTAAGTTTAAGAAACTAATAGGGGGCCAGGAACGGTGACTCACGCCTGTAATCCCAGCACTTTCGGAGGCTCAGCCAGGCAAATCACTTGAGGTCAGGAGTTCAAGACCAGCCTGGTGAAACCCTGTTTCTACTAAAAATACAAATATAAGGTGGGTGCCTGTAATCCTAGCTACTTGGGAGGCTGAGGGAGGAGAATTGCTTGAACCTGGGAAGTAGAGTTTGCAGTGAGCTGAGATCATACCACTGCACTCTAGCCTGGGTGACAGAGATTCACTCAGAAAGTAATAATGGGAAAATTTCCAGAACCCAGGCAACACTTACTAGGCTAATCATAGGGTTGGAAGGTGTTTGTCATTGTAGCTGTTTTTCTTCAGGTAAGGTGGTCTTTACTCAGTATTTTCTTTTTTTCTTTCTTGGAGGCAGAGTCTCTCTTTCTCTCTGTGTCACCCAGACTGGAGTTCAGTGGCAAAATCTCAGCTCACGGCAACCTCCGCCTCCCTGGTTCAAGTGATTTTTCTGCCTTAGCCTCCCAAGTAGCTGGGATTACAGGCGCCCCCACTACACTCAGCTAATTTTGATTTTTAGTAGAGATGTCGTTTCACCATGTTGGCCAGGCTGCCCTGGAACTCCTGACCTCACGTGATCCACCCACCTTGGCCTCCCAAAATACTGGGATTACAGGCGTGAGCC